GAGAGAGAGAGAGAGAGAGAATCGCCTGTTCGCTCGTTCGCCTTCGCTTTCGAGCTCGTCTCTGGACGAGCGGGGCACGAGTTTGAGGTCCAGATCGAGGCACGGTGACGTCGCATCGAGGCCCGAGGAGCGTGAGGCGCGCGTCGATTCCGGTGTTGGGTCGGAGCCGGTGCATGCAGGAAAGAGAACGGACAGACCGGTATGCGAGCCGGCCTTGACCGTATCTCCGCTTATCGCCACGTTCCACGCTCGACGTCACGCGTCACGTTGCCGACGCCGTTGCGGCGATTTATCCGCCCCGTCGGAGACCACGACGGCCACCGCACCGCGACGACTCTCGAGCATTCGTCGCTGCGACGCGGACCCATCCCCCTCCCTCCTCCTCCCCCCCCCTCCCTCCGTCCCTCTTCCCAGTTTCCATCCGCCAACCATCCGCCCTTCTCTCCAACAACGCTTCTTCCGAACGCAACAACGCGCTTTGTCACAACGCCGCCGGAAATGCTATGCGCAACCTATGCGCAACGTTATGCGTCGTATTTTACAACGCGAATCGTTTTACAACGCGTTATTAATTCAATTAGAACAAACACCCGATTCGTTTCGCGTTTACATTAGAGCGAATGGAACCGAAGCATCGTTTGTGAAATCGTTCGCATCGTTTGCCCGGGCCTCTCTCCTCCCCCTCCCCCCCTCCTCCCCTGCCCCCCCCCTCTCCTGTTAAGCTTCGCAGCACGCGAGCGCAAATTTCCACGTCAGCAATTACTTAAATTAATTTCGCGATAATTGTATCGATTATGCAAATTATGTAATTCGTTTTATTAGCCGGCGATACGTATTATTATCGTAACGAGCGCTCGCGAACGTAACGAACCACCGATCGTGCCGCCTTTTCTACCTTTCCAATCGTCCCGATGTAACCGTCACCGTTTAATAGCGTCTCTCTCTCTCTCTCTCTCTCTCTCTCACTGCGATATATCGGACGAGAATACATCGGCGAAGGATTTTCGAAGGAATTCGAGGCAACGTAGCGCTAATCAACTTCGATCGCGCGCGTAGAAACGTCGTTTACACCCCTCGAAGCGTCCCCTTGACGCTTGCGTTGTATGACATCGCGCGCTTTGACCAACTCGCTCAGCCGAGACCTCGTCGTCTTGAGAAGGGACGTTTTCCAAATTCTCCGCCTCCACGTCGAATTGAAATTAAATTGTCGAATTTCCTAAAATCTCGAAAACCTTGACCACGTCGATGCTCTGCGTTTTATCGGATCGAATTCATTATCCGAGTTGAAGGGGATTCGTTGAATAACGCGAATTTTTTCGAATCGTTCTTTCGAATTCCCGAGGGGAGAGAGAGAGGAGAGAGAGAGAGAGAGATCTTTCTTGATTGGACGGAAGGATCGCAAACAGAGCGCAAGAAAAGGGAGGGGGACGGATCGATCCCCCTTGCATCGGGTCCCGATAAAATTAAACGCGTCATTACCAATCGATAAAGTCGAATCTCGCCAACCTTTGTAACTAATAATTTGTGATTAGTTGGAGCGGCTC